TGGCCAGTTTGGCTGTGCCCCCTCCCAGCTTCTTGTGCACCTCCAGCCTTCTCAGTTGGTAGAGCATGGGAAACTAAGAAGTCCTTGGCTAGTGTAAGCACTACCTAGCAACAACTAAAACATCGGTGCCTTATCAGCTTTGTTCTCATCCTAAATCCAAAACACAGCACTGTACCAGCTACTAGGAAGGAAATTAACTCTATCCCTGCCGAAACCAGGACAACAGTCACTGCATTTACTCTTTTCCATGGCTGGTATAACTCACATCTTCCCTGAGCTCTCAGCAATAATTGCTGATGGTGGTTGCTTTAGTTTCTTCTTTACATATCCAGAGGTAGGTCTAGTGATAGCCCTGAGTAAAAGGAGAGCTCTAGGCAGATTGAAACCCAGAAAAGTGACCTGGCACAAACCTACAAGCATATGTAACCAAAACAAATTTCTGCTAAATGTTCTTGCCTAAAACATGTACACTGGTATTAGTTGTGTTAGCCTCCTGCTCACTTGTTCACCTTATTTTGGTTGGTAGAGAAAATAGATGCTAAGCCCTGTATCACTTTCTAGGCATCAACTTGATTAACTTTCCCCTTCTGCTGAACAGAGAACAAACTCTTCACTTGGTTTTTGTCTTCCTTACTCCCCATGTGTTTAAAGAATGCTGTCTTGCTATTCTTCATGTTTCTCACTATTTGCATCTGGTTTTGCTTCTTGGCCTTTCTGGGGTTGTGCCTGTATTCTCTTGCCACTCTGTTATTCAAGTAATAGTAAACAGACACAGATTCTTCTGTCTCTGTGCTTTCTTCTTCTGTTTCAGTTCAACAAAGGGCTTATGGCCATGTTAGCAGGCAATGATTTAGCACTTTATATTAGACTGGGATTAACCACCCTATTTGCCATGTCTACCCATTACTATAATAATGGAGTTCTAAAATTAGAACCTTTGCCTGCACTTTCCTTTTATGCACACACATTTAACTCAGGCCTCTAATGTTAGTGATTTTAACTAGGCATATACATTTTCTTCCTCCACTGCAAAGATGTAACTAACTTGCAATACCTGTAACACTTAGGCATCAATAAGAGATTTTCTGAGGGAGCTACCAGATGTCTATCCTCACTAGTCATCTTCCCAATAAATGTCTGGATGTTTCTGATTATTTTGGAGGAAACTCTTCTTCTGTTAGCAAATGATAATTAGGTATGGGTTCTCTGTAGAAAAAGAAAACGAAGTATAAATATTTCCAGCAGCCCTCTGGGATTCACTATGACATTCTTCAGACAGCAAATGGACTCCTATGAATCTCTTGGAATTTTCTCATCCTTCAAAGTAAATTTAGTACTGGTATCCCTTAGTCGTAGTGGTAGGCAATAGTGAATGTAATAGCAAAGCAAGTCATGCAAGTGCTTTCATGCTTCTCTCTTCTTCAGCTTTGCTGGAGGTGATAGAACAACACAGATTTCTGGAAGTTTTCCATGCAGACTGGCTCCTGTTCCCTGTGAATTGAGAGCTGCATCTTGGACCACATAGTTCTGCTAGCAAGAGGAGTTGGGAACTTTTCTCATGCTTCTTAAAGACCATGGCATTTGATGCAAAAACTGGCCTGACTGCAAGTGCTATGTCTGATTGTTTTACATTGGCACCAAACAGTTAAAAAAAAAGGACATTATTTTAAGCTTAGCAGTGTGCTGTAACACAGAAATAACACCTTCCACCCCATTAGATGGTGGATAGAGAGGGCCCTACTGCAGATCCCCCTCACTGTCTCAAGTGGGAGCAGGTTCAGTGGTGCTGTACTGTCTGGGTGGCAGTAGTCCAATTCAGCAAGGACTCCTGCTGTGGCGCTATCACATTGTTAAGTTGGGGTAGTGGGTGGTTGAGCAGTCAGAAACCGACAAAGACAGTCCATCCTCTCGCAGAGAAACTTTATTGGATGAATATACAACTATGCAAAATGTTGCTGTGACACCTCTCCTGTGAGGACAGGCTGAAGAGAGTTGGGGTTGTTCAGCCTGGAGAAGAGAAGGCTCCGGGGAGACCTTATTGCAGCCTTTCAATACTTAAAGGGGGCTTATAAGAAAGATGGGGACAGACCTTTTAGCAGGGCCTGTTGCGACAGGACAAGGGGAAATGGTTTTAAACTAAAAGAGGGTAGATTCAGACTAGATATAAGGAAGAAATTTTTTACACTGAGGGTGGTGAAACACTGGCACAGGTTGCCCAGAGAGGTGGTGGATGCCCCATCCCTGGAAACATTCAAGGTCAGGCTGGACAGGGCTCTGAGCAACCTGATCTAGTTGAAGATGTCCCTGCTCATTGCAGGGGGGTTGGACTAGATGACCTTTAGAGGTCCCTTCCAACCCAAACCATTCCATGATTCTATGATTCTATAATTCTATGATGTATAGACCCTAATAACAAGATATCACCAAACCATGTGTAGGCATCCTTGGAGTTTGGCATCCTGGGAATGACATATTTCAGGATGTTCAGCTTCTCTTTATTCCACATTTTCCCAAGTTCTCTGCTCTGATCCCCTTCTATACTTTCTGCAGTTTTTTAAGATGGGTAACACCTCTGCTTACTTCTGTGGTTGTCCTTCCTCCCTGAGATGTCAAATTCCTTTCCTTACCTCATTGTGGGTTGTACTGCTTGTTCTACCTACCTACTGAAAAGACCAAGCAATTATGAAAAAGATTTTACAAAATAGTTACAATTTTAGAAAAGACTATATTGATACCTTGAAAAAATATTAGAACAAACAGTGCTTTCCACCTTATCAAAGTTTATTGCATCTGTAGGCAATTCCTTTCCATCCTTTTCTTGAAGCTCATGTATGAAAAGTATGATATGGCCATGGGACCATAATGAGGGTATGCTCAAGAAACACATATGCCACGGTGAATGGAATTGTAAGGTTTGGATTTTGTGCCAGAATTTCCATTTGGTGTTATTTAAAACTGCAGATCAAGGCTAGACTATGTCACCAGCCCTAAATGAGTGTATAGTCAAACTGTACAACGTTGTTCCATTATATCCTGGATCTTACGGAGCTGTTCCTTTAACAGGCATCTGAGGCCTGTGAAGAGATAAACAATGTTAAACTGGGCCGTCTCACACAACCTCACTTCAGGCATCCAACTTCAGAGCTTGGATTAGGAGTCTCAGTTTCTCATAAAGGCAGTGGAGCCATCTTCGTGCACACATGTGCCCTGACTCACCTTATGAAGACCCCATTGACTGACTCATTTGGACCTTCCACGGAAGGGAAGTTGAGTTTCAGTTGCACTTTGGGCTAAAAGTTTGCTCAGCATGTCATTCTTATAGGAATTGCTTCCACTACTCTGGGCTGCCCTCCCTGCAGAGTCCTCTCTTGCATGCACAAGGCAATTCCACTTTGCCAGAAAGTGGTCAAGAGCCTGGAGCCCTTTGAGATGACTTTTAAACTAACCTGGTCCGAAAGCATAAGCATTGAAATGAGGGATGTGAGAGGTAATTCTGAGGAAGCCACAGGAACAAGTAAAATAGAAGCAAAGTACATTGCTGGTGACAGTCCCTAGGGCTGAAGAAAGCCAGGGATAAATTGTGTCTCAGCCCAGGAAGGCTGATGCCTCCACAGCCTGGCACGTTAGTTATTCTGTACAGACCAGGAAGGCTGGAGCCTGCTCTCCAGTGAAAGGCGGTGGAGCGTCCTCCCCTGAGAGAAGGACAAAGCCATGAATTGAACAGATACATTGCAAGATCTGTGGTCTTTAACCACACTCTGGGGCAAGCAGGTATTGAGAGCCTCTCTCTCTCTTTTCCAACAGGTATCACCTCCACTTTCTGAACGCTTGATTTCAGCCAGGTCCTTATGGAGATCTCCTATCCAGGAGGGCTCATACTCGAGCTTTGTCAGGACACAGCCTATTAGCAAAATCCCAGATCAAGAGTTGAGCTTGAAGTGAGCATCCTTAAACTTTTGCGGTGCGTAGGTTTTGGCTGGGCTGTTACCACGATTACCTAGTGTGATGCTGTGCAGGATCCATATTCCTGGTTGGTTCATGTGCCAATGTTGCTGTTGTCCACAAGGCTTCATTTTCAGTGTAGTTAAACGAAGCCCGTAATGGAGTCTGCCCCAGAGCCCAGGGCACCATCAGCAGGCCTTGCATCTTTATTTTTCCAAGCAAACTTTTGTGTTTTCATCTCATTTGAACCTCCCGGAACAAAATCTCACTTTAAGTGAGTTACAGGTAAAGCAAGGGATGGGAGCTGCATATTTCAGCACAGTCCCTTCAGGAATAAAAGCAACAAACACAAAAATTGCCTAAGACCCTCTCATATGGGTGGCAGCAGCCAGTGTTCGCCAAGGAGAGGACATGGCCTTCAAGAAGCAGAGGCAGAGGAGGAGTACAGCAGTGACCATCCACCACACTGTGGTCCCTTTAAATCTTCTTCTCCACTTGGCAGCTCCAATTTTTCAGTGTTGCTATAGCAAATCTCCATGGCAATGACCCTAATCAGGGAAGGGGGGATGCAGGGGGGACGCATGCTCAGAGTGGCTGCTGGAGCCTCGCCTGCTCGCTACAGCTGCTCCAAGGGTCTGGCACACAGGCGAAGAGAAAGATCAGGTACTTGGCAAACTGGTCCTTGGGGTGCATCGCAAGCCCGTGGCGTGTCACTGCAGTGATGTGTGCGTGTGGGTTTGCGTGTACATGTGGGTCTGTGCTTATCACGTCTCATCCACTCCTTTGTGGGGAGCGTGCTGGGAGCATACTGCTGATTTTCACTATTTCTCCTCGTTTCAGGCAGGGAAGAAAGCTTGAATTATTGATAAGAGTAATGGCGTTGCTGTCTGTCTGGAGCGTGGTGCGTGTGGCGATCCCGTTCATCTCAGTGGTTGGCCTGCTAAGCGTGAGGCTTGTGGGGGCCGGCCAGGACTCTGGGAGTGTCATTCCTGCAGAAAGTATGTACCTGCCGTGCGCACTCATGCCCTCCCGCTGCACCGCGTCCTGCTTGCTTTCCTCCACTTAACCCACAGCAGCCACACAGACCTTAAGCTCCAGGGGGAACGTTGCATTGCCTGATTAGTGAGGAAGAAACGCTGAATTTGTAACATGTCAGCAAAGCACATGAAAACAGCGCTTATAAAAACAACAAGCAAGGAAAGGATTAATAAATTAAAGGAAAAAATACTAACTGAATACTATAATTTTAATTGGAGCTTGTTTAAAAGCTCTTTGGTTGTAGGTCTTTTAGATCTGCTTCTTGAGAGTTTTGTTTCCAGATTTGCCACAATACGTATGAAGTCCTTGCTAATCTGGATATTGTTAGGAGGAAATTTGTGTTTATTTCTGGTAGGGAGTTACATTTTGCTTATTTTAGTATTTGGTTGGAACAATAGCTCAAGTTCAACTTTCTTGTAACTACTATAGATTGACACAGGGGAAGTTGACCCAAACAGTGTATTTGTAAAACATATATAGATTTCTGAAATCCTACTGCTATTCTGCAAACCTAAAAAATAAATAAATATGACAGACTAGCTTGAGCACACTGTGGAGCTGGGAGCTCTTGAATTTGGATCACAGCTCTATATTAGCTTCCTCTGTCATTTTGAGCAAGTTTCTAGTTAAACTTTCTCAGCTCCAAAATGAGGCAATAGTTCAAAGATATTAGGGGATGGAGTCAATGTTCTCAGGGTATTTTGGTGACAGCGAGTGGGAAGTAGCTACTCATTAGAAACTTAAAATATCCTCTGGGGGGAAAAAAAGGAAAGTAATTGCATACAAACCAATCTCTAGTTCTTAATCATGCTTAGTTTGTATCACAGCTATCTTTTTACATGACTACCAAAATATTTGATACAAGACCTGATTTAGTCACTGCATTTTATTCTCCTATAATTCCATTGCTAGTTTTCAAATACACCTCTGTATATTTGTCTCTACAGGACTTAAATGCTGAATTCCCTTCTTTTTCCATTCTCTTCTTGTTTTATTAGTGCTAAGTTTTGGTCTGTTCTAAAACAGACCTCACCTCTATTTTGTGTGTCTGTTTTCCAGGCATTAATTAACTTTAATTAGTTTTGTGGCACGTAGTCCATTTTGTGTCCTCAAGGAGAAAATCATGTTTGAAAAATAAATTATATGTGCCCTTTGTGTGTCTATGTTAGCAGAGGCAAGTCAACAAATTTTTGGGAAAAAGTATATGGTGATTCCTTGTTCTGCTTGTGTAGTGGAAACTCCCATTTTATCTCTAGAACAAAACTCTTGGCCAGGGTCTCTGACGCCAATCTCAAGGAGTTATCTCATGGTTTTGATATCCTGTGGCCAGGCTACTAAGTCCCCTGAAGAGCCCTTGAGAAAGATTCCTTGTCTTGTCTTACTCCTGCATGTGAGAGTGAGGAATGAAGGGCGGGTCAGAGTGTTTCTGTGGCCAGTATTTCTGCAGAGACATGCTGCTCTGTCCTGAGTAATGGAGGCTGGTAGCATTGCTACGAACGCATAACGGTATTTATGTTGGAGGCCAGGCCAGGAGGAAGACTCTCAGCTGATCATGAATTGTAAATTGTTTTGTGCTGCTGCAGGGACAGAGTTTTAAAGCAACAAGGAACTTGGGATGCTCCTAATCAGCCACTTGTTCAGAGTGCTGCATAGCTGCTAAGTGCTCCGGGTACTTTCCTTTGCCCTTCAGGGCTCTTCCTGATAGTTAACCTGTGGAACTCCTCTCTTAGGACACTGTGGAAGCTAAAAGTTTGCATGGGATTGCAGAACTGATTGGGTAAATTCAAGGAAAAAAAAATCTTAGAAAGGGCTGTTAGATACAGCAGCAGTTATTCTGTCTCAGGAGCTGCCTCAGCATATTCCTGAGGCCTGGCAGGGTCGTTGGGGACACATCCCTCCATACTTGCCCTGTTCTTGTGCTCTTTCACGGGCATCCATTGTTGGCTGTGAAGGTCACATCTACAACCAGCGCCCATGGATGTTCCCTGGCATGGGGATATGACTGTACTAGTAACCTGCTAGGATGGTCCCTGGCACACTTTTGTCCATGACAGGAGGCCATTTGCCTATCTGGAAGACAGAGTTTACTGTTCCAGAGATGAGCTGTCCCATGCCAGCTGCTCTCAAAGTCTGGGAATGCTCCTAGACACATTTAATGTACTACAAGAGATGTAGCTCACGACAGACAGGACACTGGGCCAGCAGACCTTTGATGTGATCTAGTACAGACATTCCTGGATCTTTTTCTGCTTGATGTCAGCTATTTCTCATCAAGGAGTTGATCTTCCTGGGCACTGACCCATTCTCGGGGCAGCGCTACTGCAGCACATGTGCACAACTTCCTTATTGCTGGCACTTAAGTCCAAACTGTCAGCCCAGGTAAAATGGTGGCTGTGTGATCCTGCATGACCCAGGGAGAAAAAGGGGGCTCTAGTACACATTCTTGACAGGGATATATGATGTACATGGACCATACTAAGTGTCCTTCTGTAGGGCAGACCAGTGTGGTGCTCGATGCTTTTCTCTGTTCCCAGGTGTGCGGCATGGGACTGGGAATACGCCTTTAGCAGAAACAATCCCTCACAGACTGCACAGCACTACAGCCTCTCTCTCCTACTGGGTGGGAGGAATGTGTCCCTCCTGCAGTACCATGAGCAGGAGAGGGGCAGCAATGCTCTCGTGCAAGCGTGGGAGGTGCAGGAGTCACAGGAGAGAAGCATGAGAGTGAGTCAGAGTTCTTCTTAGCTTTGCAGAGAGATCCTGCCCTGTGTGTAGCACCGGTATCTGGCTTGGGGTATCATCACCTGCTCTCCATTTGGCATACTTTTCTGCCAGTCAGAGAGCCAGGCCCAGCTTTTTATGAATAATGCTAATTAGCAGTGATTATTCATGTCCTTATACTTTATACACAGCACTTTGCATATGCAAAAGACTGTTCAAATATGAAGTAGTGTTACTAATGTTTGCAGATTATTTTCTTTAAAGTTCAGGGCAATCCACTAAAAAAAATTGAGTAATTATTTCCCCAACGTCCCATTGCATTTATAGCCCAGATCACCCGCTGTGAAAGCTGAAATGTGGAATTTGAAGAACAGAAGCTGGTCAGTCTGTTTTCATTAGCCAAGGTGCATGAAATACAAAGAGTAAACGCCATGTGCATGTGAGGGAAAGTAAATTAGACTTCCACAGTGCTTTCAGTTCCAGTTTTTCACCAAGAAGAAGCCAAGAAGCATATTTTAAGCTCTCCTCCCCCACTTCTCCCCAAATACACAGAGACACATACAGTCTTCATGCTGACAGGACCCATTTAAAGAATTATAGCTGACTCTTGATAATTCTCATTATGTTAATCCACAAACCTGTTAAGTCTCCCTATGAATGATAGTCTGTTCCCAGCTGTCAGCAAGGAATTAATAGCACTTTGCTCTACTTTGCTATGATGTGACTTAAAGTTTGGTTTCACGAGTGCTTTAAGCTGATGTAAGCCTATGCTGCCTCTGCCCTTCTCCTCCCCATAACCTGGCCTCCTGTCCTTGCCCTATTTCTTGTTCTGGCCGCAGAACTTGGGCATTCAGGATCTGATCTGGAGAAAAAAAATCAGCGATCCAGCTGACCAAGCAATTGCATGGTCAATCCTGCTGTGAGCGAGGGAAGGTGTGGGAACACGTAGCCAAGGACAGAAAGCAGGGTGGGATTGCTCCTATTGGCAACAGCACGTATTTAGATTTGCTTAAAACCCTTGTGGAAACAGACCCTTAGACATCATTACTTTGGGGAAATGTCCATGGACATCCTACTGAAAATATTGTGAGCATGAAGAGAGAATGAGTCCAGCTTCTAGACAGGCCAGCTTACCAGCCCAGCTCTTCAGTCTGGAAAGGAGACACCGAGGCAGGGAATGATGGAGAGCAGCAAAGTCGTAAGTGGGACAAAGACGGTGAATATTTAATAACTATCTCTTCCAGTGCAAAAATTAGAGGCAGGAAATGAAACCAGCAGATGTTAACTTCAGAGCAGACAAGAATGGTATTTTGTTCACACAGTGAATAGCTGAGCTGTGGAACTCGTTGCCACAGGATGCTGTAGATGCCAAAAGTTTACATGGATTCAGGAAGCAACGGGGCAAATTAATGTGAGAAAAATTCATGGAGGGCTTATCAGATGTAGAAGCATGAGCCAGACTCAGGATATCCTCCAGCCTCTTAGTAGGCTAGAAGAACATTGCTATAGGCTTATTCTTATATCTTCCTTAAGTATCTGCTATTGGCTACTGCGAGAGTCTGGCTAGTATAATAGATTTAAAGCCTGGCTAGAGCCAGGACTTGGGCAGCTCTGCTGGTAAAAATCTGACTGTAGCTATAGGTTTTCCAGGTAGTGGGATATCGCCCCTATTTTATTTGCGGAACTGCCTTCAAGTTACTCTGTGCTAGTGCAAGGTGCTTGACGGAGAGATCAGCATTGCCCTAGTTCAGTCCCCAAAGTGCTGAACAGATGCGTGCTCCGCAGGGCTGCATGGGTGGAAGAGTTTATAGCCAGCCACCTCCCCAGCTGCTCGTCACCTCCTCCCAGGTACAGCTGTCCTCTCGTCTTCCAGTGGTGCTGCTTCCGTGAGTCCTCTCTGCGCCGCTGGAAGTCAAAATGATGTGTCCCATCCTGGGATATAGCTGGCTGGAGGAATCACACGAGCTCTCCCACTGCCAGTGCTGCAGGGCTGCTACCTCCCAGCAGGCAGGGGTGCTAACCCAGTGACAGCTGTGCCTGGAGAAGGACCCTCCACCAAGGAGGACAGCCCAGGAAACCATATTAGAGAGTGAATATCCCATTATGTGGTGGAACTGGCTGCATCTGCATTGTAGCTTTGAAGAGCAGTGCCCTGTTAGAAGCTTCGCATGTGCTGATCCTGCACAGGCAGGTGTCCTCTGCGTGACCACCATTTTCCTGCAGAAGCTGCTTTGATGCCAGGGCAGCTGCTTTCACAGGGGTGGCAGAACTGAAATAATCACTTGGCATGGTTGTGCCATTCCACTAGTATCTCCCTGTCCACATAGGAGCACTTGGCTGCCATAAATACCAGTGAATGATTCCACACAGCCATGGCCTTCATGAGGGCCTGGGAAGACTTCCTGGATGGCAGGCAGTGATTGACAATGGAATTCATGGTTCTTCTCAAAGATGCTTTCTCCACACTGCCGGAGCAGGAGACATTCATTTATGACCTGAAGTTTGTTTTTTCTCCATCAAGTTCTGATTTTGAGAACACTTTAGTGACAAGCACTTCAGGGTATGCAGCACTTCATTGAGGTGGAGCCAGGGCAGGGTGTTTTCTGAGAAGACCACAGCAAGAGGAGGGAGCAGGCCATGGCACCAAGTGAATGATGGATTTGCTGACAGCAGACTGAGGATGCAGGTTCTTTCTAAGGGCTCTGCTCCATGATCTGAAGTGAAAACAATTAAATTACTGAAATACTGAAAACAAGAGGGGGTTGAGCATCCTTAAAATGTGCTCATAACCATCCTGTTGCTACTCCTCTCAGACCTGAAGAGAATCTTTGTGAGTGATGCTGTTCTTATAGAGGTGGGGACTTTGCATCTCCCCACATCCCTAGAATTAAGTCCCTGGCTTGATCCCTGGGTCTCCCTGAGATGTCAACTGCGTGGAGGGGAGATGGAGGATGATGGGTGGGAGAGAAACACGTCCTGAACAGGTCAAAGCCCCTAAGAGGCTCGCTGGGGACTGAGAAGCACTCCGGCTGCTCCCTTCCATCAGGCCCAACTCAGAAGTGCATGTTGGCAGCAGAGTACCAGGTATGGGGTGCTGCAGTGCTGCATGGCAGCTCTCTGGCTCCAGGCAGCTCCCCAGCTATCTCAGCAGCAGCTCTGCACCCTCTTTGCTTTGTCAGAGCAGCACAAGTGGCTGCCAGTGGACAAGGATTTCAGCACCACCCCCCCCACATGGGGGCTCTGTGATCAATGTAAAATGCCCTCTCTCCCCATTCCCCCTGCATCTCCTCCAGTATCTGCAATTTCTTCTTCTGAAAACCCACACTTCATTAACTCTGTGACTGAACGAAAGGGCCTGAGATTAGTGCAGGATGAATCCTGGCAGAGCAGAAATGCCCAGGTCCAGAAGTGAGCCATTTTAGTTGTTATCAGGTCCCTTCCTCCTCCTCTTCTCTGCCTTTTCCCTGCCCTGCCCCTCTGTGCACGCACACTGGCACCAGCTGCGGAGCCAGTGGGATGCTTTGCATTCCTGGCAGAGAAAAAAATACAGCAGCAGGTGAAAGGAAGCAAATACAGATCTGGCACTCTCCCTTGCCAAGCCGCTCTGTAAGAGCTCCTGTAAAAACAGACCTGCCTGTCTGGTTTCTGAACCACTGCAAACTGCTATTTTCAGTCTATCAGTTGAGAATTAACCCATGTCTGAGAAGTGTTGAGGTTTTCCATTTTAAGGGGAGAAGCTGGGGGCTGAAGGCACACAGCACCAGGCAGAGTCAAGCCTGGGCTATGTTCAGAAAAGCACACACAGCAAAATGCTCTTGTGTTTTTGCTGGTCCTTAGACACTTGCACAAGGATAGATACAGTCCTGTCCACAGGCAGCCCTAACTTTGTACACATGCAGGTGTGGGTGCCTAGTAAAATGGGTTCTCTCCTGGCATTGCAAGGTCTCTGAGTAGTCTCTCTCTGTACTGCCACACTCCAGATTTCATGCTGTGACAGTGATGTCTTCTTCTGTACCTTTTTCCAGGTCGTCCCTGTGTTGACTGCCATGCGTTTGAGTTCATGCAGAGGGCGTTGCAGGATTTAAAGAAGACAGCATATAATCTAGACACACGGGTATGTGTTTCTATAGAAATGCTTTTACTTAGCCTTTATCTCTAAGTGGCCAGGTCTGCCTGTCTGTGTACAGCAGACATGACATCTCTGCTGACTCACTTCCATTTCAGCAAATAGGATTGTACCAAGTACAGATTATTTTTCACAGGCTGGAGAGGTTCATTAAAGATCATCTAGTCAGACTTCTTGCGTAACAGGCTTGAGAATTACCCAAGACAGTCCCTGCATCAAATAGAGAAGGAAAGAAGATGTATGAAGGGAGAGAAGAACAAGAAAGATGATTTACTCTTTATCGCACAACATTGCTTCTGAGCTGTAGACTGACTGTTCACTGGGCAGGAGCAGAAACTGAACTGGAGAGGAAGAAGGTGGCTGGCAGGGCTGGCAGAGGGGAAAGGGAAGCACGCATATTCCTTGCTCATGGATCAATACTCTGTGAAAAAGGGGGAAGTACATTTGCTTGGGTAGTTATCACAGCACACAGAGCATTTTGCAACTTTACATGCTGGTCTTGTGCTGCAGAGGTCCCAATGAACAAAAAATGAGGGTGTGTTAAATGCCCTGATTTTAGCAATGCGTGTGTACGTGGGTTCCTAAATATGCACAAACACTGACTGGGATAGGACTTACCACAGTGGTTCCCATGCTGTCTGAAGTTTGCAGGGGGCAGGAGGTCTCTCACCTCTAATAAAGCCCCCCTAGTGTATGTCTTGTGCTACCTCTCCTTCCCTAACAACTCCATTAACACTGGACATGACAGTAAAGCAACTTGTGGGGAGTGAAGCCAGATCGCAGCCACATCTCCCAGTTCCCTTAGGTGCCTGCTCAGTCCCTTTGGCCAGTGCTGTCTCTGTTGGTAGGTGAGAAGGGCTCCATGTTCCTTTAAAGTCATGCTCCGCTCAAATTGTCATTCACAGCAGTCAACCAGAGAGATGTAAATCAATTATGTGTCTCAAACTATAACACAGAAGGGCAATTACGTTGCTTTGCCTTTGGTTTCTTGTGACCTTGGGCAATCATGTAGGGCCCCACACAATAAGGTTGGAGTGACTTTAGCTTTCTTGAGCTATCAATAGCAAACTGATTAGGGCAGAACTCTGAGTGCAGTACAGGTTACATTGCAAAAGTTTCCCATGCACTAGCGTAATACTAAATAACTGTTAAGTGGTAGACTGTGAATAGAGGGGCTTTACCTCCAGCAGCTGTGCTGGGCTGTTCTGGTGCATAGCGGGGTTTCACCTGTTTGGATTAGGTTCAGCTGAAATGTTTTGTACCTATGCATGACACGGCAAGACCATGTACAATCGCAGCTATGTTGGTTCTTACACTGTCAACAGGCTTTACATGGGAAGTTAAAGGAGGTACTAAATTTCTGTCTAAGTTGCACTGGGAAAATTTTTTTGAATGCAATAGAGGCAGGAAAATTCCTTAATCCCACTTACAGAGATATTCAGACGCATCTGTGTTGGCTATTCTATTTGGAGGGTGGAGTGAGAATACAACCCATCAGAGAGCAAAGCTGTCTTGTAAGAGGCGAGGCAGAGTATAAAGGGAGAAGCCGGTCCCAGAGTACCACAAGATAAGCTTCTGTTTCTGTGAGGACCTGGACAGGCCTGAGATGCCAAGGCACGGATTCAGACAGCTCTTAGCCTTACAGAACAAGGGGCATAGGAACAGTGCATCACTAAAACAAACGTAACCAGTTATCTGCAACATCACTCACCCTTTGACAACTGTCAGAGTTTAATACTACTAGTAAAGAAAGGGTATATTACTGTCCATCTTTTCCAGCCTTTGGACTGAGACTCCAAAGGCCTTTCTGGAAGAGATGCTTTAGTTAAATACAAATTATTGAATGATGCAGAGATACTAAAGTGAAATGCAGTGGCCAGGGCCCTACAAATGGCACACTGTAGCCTTATATTCTCTGAAAGGTACAGCCTCCATATCCTTACTCAGCCGCTGGTGCCTGGCTTATGCTGACCAACTATAATTTCTCAAGTTTTACACACAAATAACTTCATTCAACAACTCCTGAGTCTTGAAAGTTGTTGTTACAAGGGCAAGCCCCATGCAGGGCTGTTCCTAACAGGGACTTCCTAAGCCAATGCCAATGGGGCCACAATTAAGTTTTGTAATTGATGCTTCTCTTTCATAGTCTTTCTGTTTACTGTTGAGTGCTCCCAGTTCTGCTCTTCCTGCCTGTAAATAGTCATGAGTGACGCCTAGGCAGGGTTTGTTCTAACAGTGACAGCTTGTTGGCATTACAGTGAAATCCAATAAGCCTGTTTGATGTTAAGATGATTCTATGATTTCTACTGGGCTCCCAACAATGAGAGCATTCACTCATCCAGGATTGCATTGTACAAGCGAGGAGCAGTGTTTAATAATGCCTGCCGTTGCACTAAGCCGATAAGTGAAAGCAGAAAAGGAAAGTGAACAAGTCCTCTTTAATGCAAAGGTGGATGACATAAGTTTGAGTTGAAAATGATAGAGGGCTGTGGAGGGGAGGGGAAAGCAGTTCTGAAACAGTCTCTCCCTGCAAAACCTTGCAGTCTGAGAACAAGAAATGAGTAGTAGAGAGTGGGAACTGCTGGGGGACAGAGGTACTGCTGGCCAAGCAAGGCAGAGCTTGGTGGAGCAGGTCCCCAGGTAGAAGTGCCCAGCTACTCCTTTGGAAACTCTGTGTCTTTGTTAATTAGCCCTTTGCTGTTTCTAATTTGTCAGGAGGCATCATGCCAGAGGAACACCAGCAGGCTGAAGACATTGTCCTGTTGTTTACAAGTGGTTTTCAACCTTTAATGGTTTTTTCCAGTGCAGATGGGAAACCCCTTCATGGCGAATTTAAGCCTGGTAACTTTTTTTCTCCTCAAGAAACTCTTCAAATTCAGTCTACAGATTACTTAAGGGACCACAGACCACAGGGTGAAAACCACAAGATACGCCTAGGAAGGGGTTTCTCTTCAGTCACAATTGTGCTTGCTAATGTGAGTTGCTTGCACCAACAATTTTATTTTGAGTCTTGCAAGAGACTCAGCTTTTGAAATTATGGTGCCATTTGAGAAATTCAGCCTTTGTTTCTCAAAGACTGAGACCAGGACCCACAAAAGATTTAAGTTATTTGATCACAATTAAATGAATGATACTTAAATATCTTTGAGGCTCTGAAGTTAATTTTTGTTCCTGGATACAGAGAAAAAAGCTTGGAAATGCTTTTCCACTAAGATGCTCCAAAAACAAGAGCAAGTAATTTTAAATGATTGTCATGGTTTAACCTCAGCCGGCAACTGAGCACCACACAGCTGCTCGCTCACTCCCCCCACCCCAGTGGGATGGGGGAGAGAATCAGAAGAGTAAAAGTGAGAAAACTCATGGGTTGAGATAGGAACAGTTTAATAATTGAAATAAAATTAATTAAAATAGTAGTAATAGTAATAGTAGTAATGGTAATAATAATAATAATAATAATAATAATAATAATAGAAGAATATACAAAGCAAGTGATGCATGATGCAATTGCTCACTAACCGCCAACCGATGCCCAGCCTGTCCCTGAGCAGCGATCACTGCCCACCGGCCAACTCCCCCCAGCTTTATATACTGAGCATGACGTCATATGGTATGGAATGTCCCTTTGGCCAGTTTGGGTCAGCTGTCCTGGCTGTGCCTCCTCCCAGCTTCTTGTGCACCTCCTTGCTTGCAGAGTATGGGAAGCTGAAAAGTCCTTGACTTAGTATAAACACTGCTTAGCCACAACTAAAACTTCAGTGTGTTATCAACATTGTTCTCATGCTAAACCCAAAACACAGCACTATGCCAGCTGCTAGGAAGAAAATTAACTCTATCCCAGCCAAAACCAGGACAATGATGTATATAGAGAATGGTTTTTAAGCTTTTGTTGGAGTTCTGGGGGCATGGCTCCAAATGGAGTTGATAATAAGGCAACTGTCAGTAAATTAACTCAGGTTAAAATAGGAGCCACAAACTCAAGTCTAGATCTGCCCTGAAAGATTATGAGTTTCAGACAACAAGGTTAGACTGACAGCTGGATTGAACTCAGTTATTCTAGAGAAACAGCAGTGTAACTGAGAGCACAACTGGCTCCTCAGCACGTGCTATCTGGCGCAATTAAATTATACAGTACTGAAGACATCGTCAACAGGAAGCCATCAATCACTGTGAAGGAATTAAAAACAGTGCAGTTGAAAGTGGAATTTTTCTCAGCATTTATAAAGGACACTTTAATAATTTTGACAGCCTACTCCCTAGAAGTTAACTGTGAAAATGAAAACATTTAAACTATAGAAATACTCTCCATGCACCTCAGTTCTGAATATACTTATTTCATCACTTTTTCTGGATGAAAACCAGCACTAATAACTATGATTTTTCACTCAGCAAAGCACCTTGACTACAGCTGTGTGGAGGGATTAGGTCTAATCAATTATATACTCTTCTAAAGTGATATATGCAGTTCTTTAATTTCATGGTTTTTTTCAGACAGAAACCCTCCTCCTGAGAGCGGAAAAGAGAGGCCTGTGTGATTGCTTTTGTGCAATACACTGAAACGAGCACTGGGATTTGGCCAATGGACATTTATTCATTTTTAAAATGCTGTTCAATAAATTACTGGAAGATACAGAGTGCAACCGCAAGGAAAACAATTTTTATCCAAACAGGTACAGCTCAGATCATTTTTGCTTTGATGTGTTTTATCAGTACTGTATGCGATATTGCATCTGCTGAAATGTCAACAGAAGAGACAGCACCAAAATCTCGCTCATGGGTTTTATGTGAGGATAGCATCTCGCTTTTCTGGTATTTCAAGCCAAAAATTGTCCCTGGACTCTCAGGCCAACCCCTCAGCACATGTCAATTGCCATAGATCTGTGAAAGTCAGTGAAGTCGAATTCTTTAATGTATTTATGGTAGAATGTGTCCCTCGCATGATAAGAAAGCTACTTTGCAATGATGCATAGCTAAACATTTACAAACAAGCAGTCATGGCTTTATATAGAAATTAATAGTTGTCACTGACTGCTTGGCAGTCCAAGGAAGGTATTTGTTCCCAATTGTATCAATAGTCCAGTGCACGGCAAACACAGTAATCTGTATCACAATTTTAATTTCTTCACAGCCACACAGTAGCTGTGATCTTTTTGGAGAGATTTATTAAGTATCTAATGTGATCAGTAACATTTGTAATCACATGAATACTGCCTGGCAATTGAACTGATTGCATCTGCCAAAATCTTCTGGAGAAGTGTCTTTCATTAAGCAAATCACATACTGGATTGAACCACTCAAACTGGCCTCTACAGAGAGTTTTGGCAGAAAGCCTACAAAATGCCTGTGTGCCCAGGAGTCTCTTGCAAACTGTATTTTGAGAAATATTTAAGTTCTACCAAAATGGTCCATAGCTCTTGCATGGACTTTACACTCCATAGCAGTGGGTTACAGTGCTGATACTATTAATATTCCTGCGGCAGTCAGTGTGAGACAAGAGAGAACAAAACAATTTAGGCAGTGTAGTAGTAGACAAGATTGCGCCTTGTTACTCTTTGAAAAAGAATAGCAAATCCTTTCTCGTTGTTTTCCTTTTTTCCTTTGTTTTGGGGAGGAGAGCAGAAAATGGCCCTGGTGGAAAGTTCTTGTAGATAATAACAACTTTTTCACAAGGCTTAAAATATCATCCCCAAAGTATAATTAATAGAGATTTGTATATCAGCTAGAGCATCTATGTACAGGCTAGAAACTTTTATACAAACAAGAGTATGGGAGCAGTGTCAACAACAGTGGTTTTCAAAGTCATTTTACCAATTCTTATTAATATGTCTGTCTTCCCGTAAGTGGCTGATATTTTGTGTCAGGCTGCTCAGTAAGTTATGACGGTAGCTATCTGTATGTTTCCAAACCGCTTTTCTCCCATTTTATCTACCACATGAGACACAGGGAAATAGGGAACTGTGACCCACTGCCAACTTATTATTTTGTGTGCAGTCATACTCAATAACACAAAGGAGTGTATTACCATATACTCTGCCAAAGTTGTTTGAAAGGCATGTGGTTCTCAGCAAGGAAAAGCTTCCTTGCACCTGCACTTCAAGTAGGAAATTTGCTTTGTCCTTTGTAGTATTCTAGAAAAACCCTTTATAGGTCATCAGGACCTAGTTTATATAGAAGAGAAGCAGCATGACACAGCAACACATTGCTTCTGGTAGCATTACACTCCGCTGTAACACTGGTAACTGACTGATGGGAAGCAATAGGGGTTCTTATCATAGACCACATTTTATTTTACAGATAAAACAATAGGTTTAACACAACTCCTTTGCAAAATACCAACCTTAGGTCACTTTACTCCCAGTTAGATTTGCACCAAAGTAATGCACAGATTTTGAGTCGGCTTTTTTCAGGAGATGGAGTTCCAGCACTGAACCTGTGAATTTTCCAGCACAGCTCACCTTTTCAGGGAGCAGCATGTCTATGGTTTTGTATTGCTGTTGTGCATGCTTATTCTGCTGGTACCTTAAAGAATCTTGCAAAGTCCTGTTAACAAGCACTGCTTTTTTGGCTGTGTTTTTATTTAGAAAAACGGTTGCTCACAGTTGAGTTTTGATATAGGCAGCTTGTTATGATGAAAAGGTGGAACGAATGACAAGTGGATGTTCTCTGACTCCCAAAGGGATCAGAGTGACGCTGCAACTTTACGGTTGTGATAGCAGTGATTATTCTGTATGTACTCCTCTTTGTCTATAATACAATACAATAAAAGGGCAAGATACATTATAGTATTTGGTGTGCTTTGTTACTGATTTGAAAAATGATAGTGCTTATGCATTAATAAATATCTGGTCTTTAATTAGGTGGAAAATCCACAGAGAAAAAATGCTATTTTGAATATGAAAATAAAATCTTGTTTTTCAGCTAAATTTATGAATGTATTCTTATTTGCTGAAGTAAAAAATCAAACTCACTCTTATTTGAAATTAAAAGTACTGCAATTATTTTTGTGAGCTTTTTTAAGGGTCCCATACTCTGTTCTTGGTGGTTGTGATAAAGCTCCTTATAATTGCTGGATGGCATGAAGAAAAAAAACTGAGCTAGATAGTTTTAATTTATTATTGCTCATGAAGTTAATTTAAATTCAGAACCCCCTTGAGTCTCCACTTACTAGGAGAAACTGTATTTTACAAAATGTTTCAATTGCAGGAGGCCTTAAAGCAGAAAGTCTGTTTTCCCACACAACACTTCCAGCACTGTTTTGCTGCGGAGCCAAGGCAGTTCTCATGACCTTTTGAAACGAAGCCGTGTCTTCTTTTCTTTCGGTGCAGCGCTGCTGCAGGCAGCCCTGGGCACATGGCATTTGTACACAAGGTGGAGTGCAAGCGGTAGGCTGTAAAGATGCAGAGCCAAGTCCTCCCTATAAGAGAAATGATGTAATCATGTTAGCGTGGTGCTATCTCTGGGTAGGCAAAGTGATGGATAAATCCTGGTAATGTTCTCCATACCTCCAGAGCTTCTCGTACCTGAGCTAATGCCTTCTTTGGGTGTAATTCTGTGTGCATTCTAAGTTAGTAATTTTGATCTGAGTCTCAGGACAACTCTCTGAAGACATGCCTCTGGATTTCATTCTGAAAAATGGGAACACAATTTATCTTGCTTGTAATGAAGATTCCTGTTAGGTAACACCAAAGCTAAGTGGTATTATTGCTAGCTGAATCTGGCTAGTGTATGGGCTGGTGTTCCTTGCCCATATTTTTGTGTGGAATACTCTGAAACCCCATGAAATACCCTCTCCAGATGGAAATCTCATATTTAGAAGTCAGTTATATCTTCGTACCCAGCACTTGTCTGTAGGTAACTCCTGGGTGACCTGAGCATCCCATATACATTCCCTATTTTCTAAGCAATAGTTATAAAGTGTGTAGGTAGTTCCCTTAAGAGTAGCCATGTGGTTTCTGCGCCCCCTCCTTCACCTGCCCCAGGCTGGTACCCAGAGACAAGACCTCCTCCTGCAGCAGTGGGACTTGTGGAGGGGGTGGATGCTGGCTGTTTGTTTGCTACTAGAAGACAGGTCTCACCCTGCTGAGAGAAAGCACTTGCTGTGCTGGAGGAGGCTAACAGGAATTCCAGTTTAGTTCAGAAGGAATTTAAAAGAAGAAAGGCTCTGAGGCTGTTGTGCCTTTCCCAAGGCAGAGAAGCACAAAGGATGTTTTTTCTTTGGAACTGGCACAAGGCAGAAAGTTTGCCTTTGCCTCTCTTGGCAGACAAGAAAGAAGACCCCCTTGCCTAAAACAATGTTCTGCTTAGTCTTTTGCTGGCCAGGACTCAGTGAGTGAGAGAAAAGGGGAGCAAGTGTGGAGGGCAAAAGAGATGCCTGCCTTCTGCTGCCTGGCTGAGTTCCTGGCAAATCAGTGCTCCTGACAGAGAAACCAGAGCTGCAGCCTCCTAAGGATTTATATGCTGTGCATGGTAAGCGGAGGCTGCAATAATTTTGAATGAGGGCAGTGCTGCACACAAAGCCAGCACAGCGGTATCAGGAACAGGATTTGAAATGAGAAGCACAGAGATGTTGTGTGCACTGATGCAAAAGAGAGGATTATTTTCCCCACTCTCATCAAGCATGGCATGTGAAATTTCCAAGCTTTCCAGAACCTGCTTTTGAGAGCTGTGCAATGAAATGCAGATGGAAGAGTTGGTTGAGAATAATCCCTGTGCTCCTCAGCTGGAGCTGTGCAGAACATGGAAAGTCTCGGGGAAGCTTTGTGCTGTGCTTGTTCCCAAAGAAAATATGGAAGAGCTGGAAGCATCTTTTGCAAACCGGTACTTGCCAATTTGAAAATTAAGGGGAAACTAATTTACAGGTGTTTTTACTAGCCAAGGAGAAAGGCAGTACTCACTTAAGGAGTGTTCTTGGCAGAAAAAGTTAAATAGAGGTGGAAAACTAATATCAATTGCAAAGACATATTGTATGTATAATATGTATATGTGTATAAAATATTTAGCCTTATTTATGCTCTTCAAACGTTTTGAAGAAATAACTTCTGACAGCAATGGATGAAGCAGGATGGGTCTGTCTGCTAAACTGCTGAAAAGACACCGTGATTTTCCAATTTCTGATTCTGGCTCTGCCTTGAACAGGCCTCGGGGCTCTGTTCAGAACATGCATTCAGCATCTCTGCATCTCCACACGGGCAGAGGAAGGAAAGAATTTCCCCCACACACGCTCATGACAATTTGTAGACTGCTGGAGAAGGATCCCACAATAGAAGAGCCTTTGGTCTAACCCAATGTGGACAAGCTTATGTGCTTATGTTATGTTCTCTATGTATATGGCTAGAAAAGAAGTTGGAGTTATTAACTTCCTTCCCTAAACTCCAGAAGGGAGGAATAAGACACACAAGGAGGCTGTTAGAAAACCACTTCATTATTCTCATCATTCTTGAGGAGACTGAAGCACATGGTAAACTTTACCAGAACCCACTTGCCTCAATCCTGTCTCACCCGCTCCATCCCTGAGCTGGGTGGCAAAGGGGAGACAATTGGATCCCTGAAACATGTAG